GGGTAGCAACCCTCTCGAAGTTCTGCATGCGTAAACGAGCAATCATAGTATCAATGTAAACTGCTTGGGATAAAACCAACATTCTCTTCTTCCTATCACGAATGACCTTGATTCTAAGAATGTACGATGCTTCTCCCAAGTCCTTCATTTGAAACTGTTCTGAAAGCCACACCTTTAAATTTGATTATATCTTGACATTGTTGTCGATGAGAAGAATATATCTACGTATAGTACTAAGAAAACCACTACATTTATGTTGCTCTTCTTGTATACACAACTTTCGTTTTAACATTGTTTAGATCCATAGGACTTGATCACCTCATCAAAATGAATGTTCCAAGACCTAGAAGCTTGCTTCAGTCCATACAAAGACTTCTTTAGCTTCTAGACTCAATGCTCTTGGTATTTCTTCATGTAACCCTCGAATTGCTGCATATAGATGTCTTTATCCAAGTTTCCATTAAGAAAAGTTGTCTTGACATCCATTTGTCAAACATCACAGTCCATGTGACTTGTTATAGATAATAGAATCTGGATCGACTTCAACATGGCTGCTGGTGAGAAGGACTCATCATAATCGATTCTCTCTTTCTGAGTGAAACCCTTCGCCACCAACCATGCTTTAATGGAAATAACTTTTCCCGTCAGATATTCGATTACGCCTATAGACCCATTTGCATCCAATGGCTTTATTGCCCTCAAGAAGGTCCCTAAGGTCGTAGATGTCCATATCATCTATAGTTTCAATTTCATAATCCATTGATTTCTGCTAAGACTCTGCATCTACATCTTGGATTGCCTCTTCATAGGTACAGGGATCACTATCGTGTTCTTCACGTGGAATCAAGTCCAAACACTCTCCCACAAACATGAAATGATCAGGTTGACGAACAACCCTGCCATTACGATGAGGCAGTTCAGGTGTAAATACATCATAGTCAATATGTTGTGCAGTCTCTTATGGTGTATCCTCTTGCACACTCGACATGACATTGTCTTCCCTCAACTCATTTAGAATATACTTTTGGACTTATGTTTACTCATATAATCTTCCTCTAAAAACATGGCAATGGTGCTTACCACCACCCTCTGGTCTTTAGGACTATAAAAGTACCCACCTCTCGTTCCTTTGGGGTAACCTATAAACATTCGCACTTCTGTTCTATGTGGCAACTTATCAACTTCCTTATCTAGCACATGTGATGAGCAGCCCCAAATCTGAATGTGGTTGAAACTGGGATTACGCCCAGAACACGGTTCTATTGGGGTTTCCAGAAGTGAATCTCCATAACGAGGTAGGTAATGAAGCGTAGTTCATCATCAATCTCACCATTTCCAATAGAGTCCTATTATTTCTCTCAATGCAAAATAAGTTTTATTAGTGTCACACTGGAACGATTAAATCGGAAGTAAACATGAATAAAAGTGAAATCAAAGCCATACACACCTTCCAATTGGAAGGATAATAAGTCTGAACAAAAGCTTTTAACAATAGTCTGAACATTATGTGAAGAAAAACAAGTTTCCATTTTATGCATTCATAAATTCCATTAACAAATTGGAATATTTGTACCCAAATTAGAAAAACTGCCCCTAATAAATTTTAACCAAATCGAAAAGAATAGTAATTATCTTTGGAACTTATATATACAGAGTTGATGATGATGAGGACGCCACGGGTATGTAAGGAAGAGAGCTTCGTACATTTTNAGAAATATGAGAACAACAGATCATGTTCCGGGAGGGAGTCCCGGCTAGCAAGTCATCATCACAATGTGGCGGGTGCGCCAAACGATAGGTCCGGCTACACAAATCTGAATGAAGGGTATCCCATCTGGTCCATCCGTAGAGAAAAGGTGACAACTGCAGCGAGAAATATGAGAATAACAAATCATGTACCGGGAGGGAGTCCCGGCTAGCAAGTCATCATCACAATGTGGCGGGTGTTGGGATCTGTGAGGATCTCGTTATGTACAAATCACGAATTCAATAGCAAACGTAAACCTATGCGCAGCGGATCTAAAGGTTTGACGTAGAGAACTTACGGCTTAAAATTTATGTAGATCTGGCTGACCACGAACGGTTGACCGCAATTGATTGACCGCAAATCACGTCTTGGGTTGCGCGAACAAGATCAGATCAAAACCGGATCAAACGGATGCAAACAGATCAAAACGAGATTTTGCTGCCAGGCACCTTCCGGCGGCGCGTGAAAGCGCGTGCGGCGTCGGATTCCGGCGTCGTCGGCGGCGATCGAAAGCTCTCGTCGAGACGGTCGTCTGGGTATACTGTACGTCTCAATCGAACTTCCGGTTAGTTCTGTAGGTCAAAATATATTTCGTCTCGGTTTACCTACAGATCTTGTACTGTATTACTCAATACACCCTTCTTCAACTTGTACCAGTGGAGCAACAAGAAGAAGATAAAGTTCGAATGAGATCTAGAGAGAGAGAGAGTAGGGGTGGCGTGTATATCTCGTGAATATGATATGGGATTCTCTTCTCATGAGCTTAATGATGTATATATAGAGCTACAGTAGGGACCCTAAGGAGATTAGGAAAAGGGCTCCTTAATTAATTAGACTAACTGTAGGCCAAACCCACTCCTCTAATTAATTAAATAATATTAATGGGCCACCAATATTATATTATTGCACTCCCTTTCCCTAGCCCAAATTACATTTGAGACTCCAATAATAATGACTCGATTTACCTCCCCACGTTTAAGATATAATGTCCATTAATTAATTCGATTACTGACAATCAAGAATTAATTAATTTATTATTATTTCACCGAAGCTAGCGCTCGTTCATCACATTCTTATTATGCCGGAATTTAATCCACCTGCAGGGTTTAGCATAACAATCCTTCATGAACTCACTCCGGGGACATCATCAAACTAACGCACATGGTGACCGTAAATATCCTAACAGCACATCCTATATATAATAATATTACCCAAAACAGTAGGAATATTAATCCAGCGAACTGAACCTCACCCATGTGAATCAAAGTAATATATATTATATATATCTGCCTGTTTAATATCTTACGGGTTAAGAGAACGCAGTAATTAACCGAGGCCTAGTTCATTTACGACGATCAGTATAAAATGAACTTCTCCTCTCTGGGATCCTGTTCAATACATAAATGTACTAGTGCAACTAATCAGTCAAGACAAACTGTACAGTTGACACTACAACCGTTCGGATGGGGTGTTCATGTCCATCTAGGTTGTGAACAACTATTCTTGTTCGCAAGTGACTGATAGAGTGATCTTCGGTTCGCCCGATGACGACCCACCCTATCTAAGTGCAGAACAACAGAATGTAGAACTTGTTTAATCTAACATGATTCTCATTCATAAAGGGTAAATGTGTAATAACATGCAAAGCCAAGCTTTCAGTATATAACACTAACAGCGGGTGCGCCTAAAGGTAGGTCCGGCTACACAAATCTGAATGAAGGGTATCCCATCTGGTCCATCCGTATGAGAGAGCTTCGTACATGACTTTGAAGGAATTACAAGGCGATGGCGAAATAGGAATTCAAGGGTCGACGAGCGGAGGGCGTCAAAGATTGGGCGCTGGGGAGGCGCGCTAGGTCTTCTTAGCGCTGATGAAACAGTCATAATTCAAAATAGACGAATAAAAGAGGAAGAAAAAAATGAATGAAAAAAGATGAAAGAACTGCTTTCGAAAACCAAGGTGAGAAACTGTCAAATCAAAATATACGTATCTATATATATTGAAAAAGGATGGTCAATAAATCATTGGTAGAAACTTTTAAAAAAAAATTAGTCAACCAGTTCGACATACTAATTATAGCAATCTTTTAAAAGCCGTATTGTTTGCAATTATCGTTCCATATTTTGTTCACGCGTTCAATTTATGGTATATTTCAAATGATCACTTATGAAAATTGCGACTCATTATTTAAGGAAGTAATTAAATCATATTTTAAGATACCTTAATTACTTAGATCATGTGAATTAATTAATATATGGTATATAGTGGACGAATTTATTTCTGGTATTGATGGTTGTTTCTATAGGAAATAAATTAATCAATATATGGTATAAAGCGAGCAAATTTATTTAGGTTATTTGATAACTATTTTTTGTACGAAATTTGTTGAAAAATTAATCAATATACGGTGTACTTTTTTCTATAATACGCAGGCTAATATATTGGTTTTTAGGCGTAGGTTTCAATTTTTATTTCAATTTTTCGTATGAAATGAACATAATAAAATTACCGTAACTCCAACAAAATAATATGAACTAATATTTTGATATAATGTGTGTGTATCGATATTTTTTTTTATATAGAAAAAGTTGTGGTCATTTTTTTTATTTTTTTTTGTATAATTATTAGATCTCGATTTAATTCATTTTTTGTTACGACATTTCAAATAAGTTTTGTGTGGATATTTTATACAAAAGTAAATTCATTTTAGTTGATTAAACAATATAAGTTTTATATCTATACTTATTATTCACATAGGTGTTTAAATATATGAAATTTTTTTACCAAAGTAATTATTTATGGAATCACGTTATAGTCAAATCGAATTTCTAAATAAAAATTTTAAAATGACACATATTTTGAAATAAATATAATGTAATTAATTATCAGTTATGTGCAACGTACGAGATGTGTACTAGTTTTAAATAAATATTTTTATGTAATTTTGCACAATTTAAATTTTATATAACATTTTCAATAAGTTATATAGGTACATTGTATTACATATTGATTCCATGTTTCTAATTTATAAATATTATTTAATAATAATTTTTAATTTATAAATATTAATTAATATTTTTTACCCGTACATCGCACGGGATTTGTACTAGTTTGAGTAAAGATAAAAGTAATATATATAACAAAAAAGAGACAAACTACTAAAAAATAAAGGTATGTTAAAATATAAATAAAATATATAAGTAGTATGATGGGTCATTTAATCCCAAATCTTCAGTTTTAAGCCCAGCGTTACAGCCCATATCCAAGCCCAAGCTCCGTTGCAATACCTGAAACCCTAAACCCTGAAAATCCTTAATAAATACGCACAAAATCCCGTTCTTCCGACACCTCTCCATAAACGTAAACAAAAATGTCGAAGCGAGGTACGTTCTCTCTCGGAAGATTTATGGCGTTATTAAGTTCGATAAGAAGTTTCAGTTTCCAGTGTTATGGTACATGATTTCACCTGATATCTTTGTTTTCAGGGCGTGGTGGATCGGCTGGCAACAAGTTCCGGATGTCTCTGGGGCTGCCGGTGGCCGCGACTGTGAACTGCGCGGACAACACCGGCGCCAAGAATCTTTACATTATATCGGTAAAGGGTATCAAGGGTAGGTTGAACAGGCTGCCGTCGGCTTGTGTCGGCGATATGGTGATGGCCACTGTGAAGAAGGGAAAGCCTGATCTGAGGAAGAAGGTCATGCCGGCTGTCATCGTCAGGCAGAGAAAGCCTTGGAGAAGAAAGGATGGCGTCTACATGTACTTTGAAGGTGATTTTTGTACTTGTCCATTTAAATTGTGTTCTGCATTGTCTTAATATGAATGGGTTGATTTGCAGTGTGCTATAATTATATCTTTTCATTTTGTTGTGCTATAATTATATCTTTTGTTATTGTCAATCAGTATCTTGGATGTTTAATACTTTTTGTGTTTGTTTGTGGGCTGTGGATGAGATTTTCAATTATTTTGGGTATTTTTTTTGTTGGTTTGGAATTCGTTTTAATTCCAAGGTGCCTGTGAATGCTTTATATAGTCTTCTTTCTGGTTGTAATTTTCAGATAGTGTTTGTTTTGATACTCTTATATGATGTATAAAATGTTATTGCGTGGGAGTTGTTTAGCTGGTTAAGCAGACTCGTGGTTCTTCTCCTCTCTGGGGTTGAGCACGTGATTTTATGCTTTCTGTGACCAGCTATACTTGACAATCCCATCAGCCATAGATCGAGTGGGTTATTGTGCTTTCTTGAACCTAGCTCTGTTAAGGTTGATAAATACTATGTTATTTGTTCGGATGCATGGTTTTGGTAGATGGTTTACAGCCCAATGACATTGTGATTCTTACATTAGTTTTGTGGTAAACTTAAGCAGAATGTTTTCTAATAGGTGTATGTCTTGTCGCCTGTGTTTTAATGTTCTATGGACTATTGTTTTTCTAGTATTATGGTTTTATAAAACGACTGCTGGTTAGGGGATGACTTGATGCGTTTATATCCGCAAGATCATATGATGCTTCCTTAAACCAGCTAAATGAAAGGACTTGCCAAATAATTTTATCGAGTGGGATCTCTCATGATGTAGAATTCTACTTTTCGCGATTTGGCACATTCTTCTTCTTTTTTGATTTAACCTATTTTTTTTTTAAACCAGACATTAGTCATGTATCCATCTATATGTAATGGTGCTCATACAGTTACATGTCTGGTAGATTAAATGTATCCCTCGTTACAGGTGTGAGCAATCTCTCTAAGCTTACACCTGCTCCATTAGGATCCAACATCTTTTATCTTGTCAAGAGCTTTTGTTTATTTATTGCATGATATATCTAGCTAGAATAATCATAAGACATTACTTATTCTGAATTTTTCTCAGCAATGTTGAGATGGCGTAAAATGATTTGAATTACCTTGAAGTTACATCCAGATGAATTATTCCTGTGTTCCGAACGTAAGGGGTAATTGTCTTGGGGATGTTAAGAACCAAACCTTCTTGTGTGTAACCCGATATTGACTACTTGTATCAATATGTTCTGATAGGCCTTGTACAAGCATGTTAATGTATGATTGTAAAATGTTTGTGATGTTAATTTCTTTATGCTTGGCAGATAATGCTGGTGTCATAGTCAATCCAAAGGGGGAAATGAAAGGTAAATATTACTAGCTATAAACATATACTATATGGTATTTTGAATGCTTCATTTCCTAGTGTTTCATGAGAGTGAAGTGAACCTTAATGTCTTAATATTTGATTGTTGGTTTCAGGTTCTGCTATTACTGGTCCAATTGGGAAGGAATGCGCAGATTTATGGCCTAGGATAGCCAGTGCTGCTAATGCCATTGTTTAGAGTGAATTGCAACCTTACCTTTTAAGAGCTGCGCCAATAGGGTCGACACTGATTTCCCTTAGGCTAAGGCATCCTTTGAATTGAGGGATTCGAAATTTACAGATTTCAGATTTATAAGTTCAAATCTTGAAATTTATATATTTTAGATTGATAAGTTCAAATCACCATGTATGTTCTGATGATAATAGAAGTTTGAGGATTTCAAATTCATGCTAGATAGATTTTCGTCATTGTTTTGAAAGATTTCAAATGACTCATCAACTTAGTATTATCAAATAAAATGAAATTCAGATTTTGTTACTAAATAATTAAAAATTAAAATCAGCCTAATTGTCTACCAATATGTTTAAATTTGAGTTTTAAAGATTCAATGTGTTTTTTTTTTTCAAAATTTTCACTATTAATAAGTCAAACCATTTATTTTTGTAGTCAAACTTACTATAAAAGTATTTTTCCAACAACCTTTTCATATTACTATATATTTGAGAGTGAATAACAAACTCATTCGATNAGCTTAATTTTATCTAATATTGCATATTATTAGTTAGTAGTTACAAATAAAGGAATTATATTTATTTAAAAAAATCTAGTAGAAAAAGTAGATATTTTTAGGGATTTTTACGCCATTTTTGTTAATCCAATTCAGAAGTTTGATCAAGAAAAATTGAAAATAATCGATATTTTTAAAAAAAAATAACATCGAATTTTCCTACCTATATACCAATTTTTTTACGAAACGAATTGATCCAAATATTTGATTAAAACAAAGTGATAAGAATCATCATTTTTTTCTAAAAATGCAATCGATTTTTTCTAACATTTGCACTGATTTTTTTTACCAAATAAATTGAAATAAAATTAATTCTAATAAAACATCAGAATAATTTGTTATGGTTTATGAAATTGTTTTGTTCCTAAAAAAATTGATATGAACTTAACCAAAAAATTGATACGAACATTTCAGTAAAATATGGTTAAGAAAAAACATAAGAATCTAGAAAACAATCGGTGTACTTAAATTTTGAAAAGTTGCACACGATTTTGATATTGATTGAAATTTTTTTCCTAAATAATTGAATAAGGTTTGACTTTAAATATCAAAGATGAACTGACTTAGCTACCAAAAAATCTGGATACGATTGTGAATGTATATCTCGTCAGAATTTCATTTTTATTTTAAATTAAAAATTGCACGTGGTTTTATCCAATTTGCACACATTTTTTGAAAGAAAAAATATTAAAAAATATTGGAAGAATTTGTGAAGAATTATAAAACTATTTGTTTCATAAATTTGTATTCAATTTGCACGGTTTTTAATTAAATTGTATCTTGATTTGTTTCATAAATAATTGACACATTTTTTAGCATAATAATTTCAAATTTGTTACAAAAAAAAAAAAGAATTATGATTTTGTAAAAACGTAAAATATGATAGGAAGAAAATGATATTTTGATTTTGGTGTAAGAATTTTTAAATTTATTATTATATAAAACAAGATTCATATTTTGTTACTAAATAATTGGAAATGAAAATCTGGCCAAATTATATAACAATATGATTAAATTTGATTGCTAAAGATTTACATGTTTTATTTTTTTTTTCTTTTTTTTGAAATACTCACAAATAGTAAATCAAATCATTTATTTTTTAGTCAAATTTTACTCAAAATATTTTTTCAACAACTATCGATATAATTACAACTTTTCACTCCCACGCCTCAAAAGCCAAGAGATCCGTCTTTCCCTCTCGAAAACCCTTTTTCTCCCAGATTAGATTAGGTCGAATGGCAACTGATACGGCAGCCCCTACATCGGAACTCCCGGCCGCGGAGAAACAGCCGCACAACCTCGAGAGGAAGTGGACGTTTTGGTACGACAATCAGTCGAAACCCAAACAGGGAGACGTCTGGGGCTCCAATCTCCGCAAGGTTTACACTTTCGACACAGTCGAAGAATTCTGGTGGTACGTGATGATAAAAACAGCTGCAGATGTGTGTTTTATGAAATATTTATGGCTTTACTCAATATTTTGGAATTGGGGAATTTGGTTTCGTTGTAATTATCTGTACTCTTTAGGTCGCCGTTAGATATGACGCTTTCGGTGTAGTTTGATGTGATTCCATTCAATTTTGTTAACTTGTAGAAGAATCATGATTGGTGGCATGTATGGCATGATGTAATATAAGGTGAACTATGGGTTGTGGTGACTAAGTGGTGGAATTTGATAAAGATGCTTTGAACTGTAAAGTAAGAAGTGAGCATGGTTGTTGGGTTTATTTGTGTCATCATTAGAAGAGCTAGATACTAGGGCCTGATTGAATACAAGTTTTGATGCGTTTCCATTGGGACTGTGTGAAATTGGCAAATATGATGTAAAAACTTTACCTCACTTGTGAAGTGGTGGTGATTTCTCTTGCAGTTTATATGACCAGATATTCAGACCAAGCAAGTTCCCTGCATCTGCCGACATTCATTTATTCAGAGCTGGAGTGGAGCCCAAATGGGAGGACCTTGAGTGTGCTAATGGGGGAAAGTGGACTGTTACAAGCAGCAAGAAGGCTAATCTGGACAGCATGTGGCTTGAAACTGTAAGCAACCTTATTTTTATAGTTTTGGAGTTTTTGGTAATACTTATTAGCATAATACGGGTATAAGAGCAAATTGACTAAGAAAAAGAATTTAAGGGACCAACTTTTGTTTTTTGTTTTTTTTTTTGTTCAACTGAGATGCCTATGTACATGGTGTATGACAATGAATAGGCGTGTGTTTAATGAATCATAGAGGTTTCGGTATGCCCTTTGTTACTCAAATTATCTCAGATAGTGACTCCGTCAGTAACACACACTTTACTTATATAAGACCTCAACAGCTATTTCCTTCTTCCTTTATCATGTGCTAAAGCTAATTGGGAGTCAGGGCAAAGTTTGTGTTTTTTTCACTTGACTACTTTGTTTTTTTAATTTATTTTGACTGCTGCATGTTGTTGGGCAGTTAATGGCTTTAATTGGGGAGCAATTTGATGAGGCTGATGAGATATGTGGAGTGGTAGCCAGCGTGCGCCAAAGGCAAGATAAACTCTCATTGTGGACCAAGACTGCAGCTAATGAAGCAGCTCAGGTATTTGAATCATAATAGCAGTCCACTCAACTATTAGTTTTGTCTTGGCATTATATTCTTGACATTGTTTCACCAACATTATCTAAGTTTACTGCATGATATGTTCTGCATATCTTTGTTTACAAGCACTTAAAAGGAAGCCCAGCTGAAAAGATTTATTGACATACAAATCAATGTGTCTAGTTGACATCTTTTATAGATCCACTAGATGTTGCAAAAAATAATAATTTAAAAAATCATTAATAGGGTACTCCAACCGTTTTGTGATGTTAGATGCTGTTTTTCCATGTCAATTCTTAAAAGTCAGAGCAGCAATTTCAATTAGAGCCCTCAAATCTCTTATGATTTATGAATATAAAACTTATAATCGCTCACAATAGCAATCAGTGTGGCTTGCAAAAGTTCAGTATGATGGAAAGAATTCAGATTTGAATGTGAGGAGTTCTGGTGAATAATTTAGAATTTTGTGATATTCCTTGAGAGAGAGTTGAGCTCAGTGAAATTGAAGTGTGGATAGGTGATAATAGTCTAAAGTAGCAATTTTCAGCACAGTGTAGAAGGGGAATGCATATGCCCTGTGAAACAATAAGCTTGATAGAGCTAAAGGTGAAAGCAAACAAAAATAAGAGATAATCAGTATTATTGATTAAGTAAATAACTTAAAAACAATTCGGAACGAATCCCGCGCAGCTAAGGCTGATACTTCGGGAAAAAACTCCCTGCTCAAGTTGATAGAGTTAAGGGTGAAAACAAACGAAAATAATAGATATTCTATATAATTATTTAAGTAAATAACTTAAAAACAACTCAAGACAAATCCCGGTTCGCTGGGATATTCTAAACAAATGGGCCAAAAGACTGATTATTGAAATAAACGAAGTAACAATTGATAGATGAGTTATTAATAATCGACATCAACTATTTGTGGGAACACACGATTTTTGACTCCTTTTGGTTGGGTATACCCCTTAATTATTTTATTAATATTGTCCAAACCACATAGAATGTCGAGCCCTTATGCTCTATAGTTCTCATGTAGTTTCAATGTATACAAAATTCTCAATTACGTCTGGCCAATGCAGATGGGCATCGGGAGGAAGTGGAAAGAGATTATTGATGTGACCGATAAGATATCTTACAGCTTCCATGTATGTTTTTTACTTCATTGCCTTTGACATTCTCATGCCTATTTTTTTAACTGTTTTTCTCACATTACATTTTTTCACTGGGTTGCTACAGGATGACTCACGGAGGGAGAGATCAGCAAAAAGCCGATATCATGTCTGAAGAACGAACAAATCATATAAATGTAAACAAGCATTCTTGTGATCCAGCTTCGGGTTCAGAAAATACTTAAAAGAATTCCTCCATTGTACTTTACAATTTTGGATCAGTATTTTTCCTGTGTGAGATATATTTTAAAACTTAAATTTTTTTAGTAGTTCTATTTTTATCAAGGCTTCACAAGGTTTTTTACTTTATGCAGCTTGAGAAAGATGCCTTTTGTTCTGGGAATTTAGGGTTTTTTCCTGTATTGTGAACATTGTTAGTAAAATTACAGAAGCAACTCAAACCAAGATATAGCACCTTGGATTTCAGTATTAGCTACGTAGAGCGTCACTTGCAATTTTCACATTGTGGTTTCTAATAGTAGAATGCAAAAGTTTCTTCATTTGGAAAAAAATTATTCTCTTTTTTTTAATAAGTGTCATTTTGAGAAGTTGAACAGTAATTAAGAATTTTTTTTTGTCAATAATAATTCTCATTAATGAGGATAGAGAAAGATGTTTTGAGAAAAGATGAGGAGTGAATTGTCAGTTCTCTTTCTCTTTGTGACAATAAATTTTACTTCGAGTCCCATTGGGCGTGTCAAAAATTTGTAACAACAAATTTTATGAAAAACATAAAACTTTTGTACAACTTGATTTTATTTCGATCAAACGATAGTGCGGGTACAATCTCTACATGTATCCTCTGATTTTTCTCTTCATGGATTTGATTTGGATCTTTGAAGATGGATTTGATGGTTAGATCTTCTTCAGGTTTAAACTTGAATTTGTCTAACGTTAATTGAGGGGTCGAATGACTTGATTCCGAATTAAACGTTAGGACTTTATTTGATTGAAGACAACTTCTTGGAGGACTTGCTTCTTCAATCTTTCTAGAAGACGGATCTGGACTTGAATAACGTTGACTCGAGGGCTTGAGAGCTTTTTCCCGGATCAAACGCTATGTTGCTTGAATTTCTCGACAAACTCGACTTGAATGTTGTGGATCTTCAAGAACACCTTTAGATTTTCAAGAGAATAATTGAGAGCTCTTTGAATTGAGACTTTGATTTATGAGGTGTTGATTTTTTGAGGTATCTTGGGTGTGATTTGTGGCTTTGAGGAGAGCCCTATTTATAGGTGTAGGAGAGAGAGTCTTGAAGAAGAAGACATCAATTTGATTGGTCCTTCTTGATTTGATATAATCTCTTTCCTTATCCTAGAATTTGATATAATTCTTTCTTAATCTTAAGATTTGACTTGGTGGACAAGAAATATTTACTTTATTAATTAAATATCTTATTTATCTTGCATTTATGTCCCAAAATAAATAAAGACATTAATTAATAAAATATTAAATTTCGATGTCTACACTCTTCAAAGCCTTTCGCCTGTTTAAAAATTTTAATATGTACAACCGGGAAATAATACCTTGGGCGGGAGATTCAATTAATCGAGATTCAGAAGCTGAAATTTATGAAAAGATGTAGTGTATTTATTAGCTAGATGAGGGTAATAATGGAAAAATATGTACAAAAGATCGAAAACGTCATTTATTTGGTTAATCTATACATATATAAAAAGGTTTGATTATTTTTTAAATATTAACTATTTTCCTAAAAAAAAAATTATTTACTATTTCGGGAAATTAATGTAACAATTTATGGTATATTTCAAATGATCAACATATGGTAATTGCGGCTCATTATTTAAGGAAGTAATTAAGCTATATTTTAAGATACTTTAATTACTCAAATCATGTGAATTAATTAATATATGGTATATAGTGGACGAATTTATTTTTGGTATTGATGGTTGTTTCTATAGAAAATAAATTAATCAATATATGATATAAAGTAAGCAAATTTATATAGGTTATTTGATAACTGTATTTTTTTTTTTTTGTAGGAAATTTGTTGAAAAATTAATCAATATACGATGTACTTTTCTCTGTAATGCGCAAGCTAATATATTGGTTTTTAAACGTCTTTCAATTTTTATTCAATTTTTCGTATAAAATTAACATAATAAAAATACCGTAACTCTGACAAAATAATATGAACTGATATTTTGATATAATGTGCATGTATCGATATTTTTTTTGTAGAAAAAGCTCTGGTCAATTTTTTATTTTTTATTTTTGTATAATTAGTGAGTTCTCGATTTAATTCATTTTTTGTTACGACATTTCAAATAATTTTTGTGTGAAATGCACTGTTCATTTTTTTAGCATGATAAATAGTGCTGATTTTTTTGGCATAAAAAAATAAATTTTTGGATTCGCTGCCAGGCTTTTACTCAACTACTTCAATTTTTTGGTTTGGATATTTTATACAAAAATAAATTCATTTTAGTTAATTAAACATTATAATTTTTATATTTATACTTATTATTCACATAGGTTTTTAAATATATGATAAAATTTTATCAAAATAATTATTTTATGGAATCACGTTATAGTCAAATCGAATTTATGAATAAAAATTTTGAAATGACACATACTTTGAAATGATATAATGTAATTTTTTATCAATTGTGTGCAAAACACGGGATGTGTACTAATTTTAAATAGACATTTTTATATAATTTTACACAATTTAAATTATATATAACATTTTCAATAAATTATATAGATACATTGTATTATATATTGATTCCATTTTTTCAATAATTTTGCCTTGATTCTCTGAGATAGATGATTCGAAGTGCGCGGCCTTCCTTCTAGGCGATAGTTGTGTAGCCGACACGCCTAGGCCTTCTTCTACACAATTTGTATGATAAAATCCTAACGAATTCTAACACACGAGATTTGATGACCAAAGGTCTAGAATAATAAACTAGGAAATAACTAGTTAGCCTCCTAATAAATATTTAGACACATGACCATAAACCAAAACTCTAAATAAAGTAGGAAAAATAAATAATCAAAATAACTAAGCTAATAAAATCGGTCAACCCTTCTAGAAGGATCTCGACCTATCGTGGTCCTCAAGCTCACGTCACTTTGACTACTCTCGCGGAAGTCTCGTTGACTAAGGACTGCTTGTGCCTTCCAGAAGACTCGCCTTGGTCCCCAAGATTCGCCGCCAGGCTTGCTGTTCACGCCAAGCCTGTGTTTCTTGCACACCTGTCATGCTGGCGCATGCATCCCGTTCGTGCGTGTGCAGTCTCGCGCGGGCCTGGCTGGCACCCGCACGTGCTTGTCCCAATAAGCCTGCAGCAATAAGCCTGCGCTGCACGCTCGCGCGCATAGCGCGCTATCGCCCTGCGCGACATTCCCGCACGCATCTCGCTTCAGCACGTCTAGTCTCAACTCTCGCACGCCTTGAGCGCCCATGTCTCGTACGACATTTCCGCGCTCGTGTCATTGTGCTTGAGTGAGATCCCTTCGCGCGTATCTGCTCCCTCACCCGAGGCTCGCGCCATCTGGCCCGAGTCTCATCCAGTCCTCGCTGTCGCCGTGCGGGATTCTCGGGTCTCGACCGTGTGCGTCTATGCCAGTGCATGTGTTTGCGCCCTTGCTGCTGGGTTGCCTTGCGCGCATGCTCGCGCTGTCACGCTGTCTTGCGCGCGCACTCGTGTTGTTGGATGCGTACCTTCTTGCGCTTGAATGTTTCTCGCCTTCAGACTGCCTTCTCACATGCCCCCGCGCACCTCCATGTGCGACCTTCGCTGGCTAGCTCCCTTGCACTCGTGGCGCCCGGCCTATCCTTGTCAGGCCTATCCTTATCGGTCCTATTGCCGTCAGACCTACCCTTGCCAGGTCTAGCCTTACTAGGCCACTGCGGGCTCTTATGCCCAGAACTGCTCGTCCACGCCTCAGCCTCGTGTGAGATCCCTGAGTCTGCGCTTGTGCGCGTGTCCTTGCCTTCACACGGGAGTCTTGGCTACTGCTCTGGGTCGCGCCCAAGCATGTCTAACGCCTTAGCCGCGTACGGGTTGTTTCTCTTGTGTTCGTGCGCCTCGCACACGAGCTCATACCCATCTCCGTGGTTTTGGCCCTTTCTTTGGCCTTCTCTGATCGTCTCGACTCTTGGCCCTTCTCGACCTCGGAGGTCAAAACCTCAATTCTCATCATTCCCGCTCCCTTTGAGAAATTCCTCGACCTCAAGGACTTGTCAACTAGTATCAGCTGAGGCGTCTCCTTCTCCTCATCCACATTAATCTCCATGTACGACTCCTCCTTATGGCCCTCTTCTACCTCGACCAAAATCTCCTCCTCGACCTCAACTACCTCGATAGACATGGCTAAAATCCGGGCCGAGTCATAGCCCGGCCCGGCCCACCAGGATCGAAAAGAATGACTCGGACCCTGCATGGACCTATACTCGTGCTGGGTCAAAGGCCTGTTTGACTGGGCCAGGCTGGGTCCGTCATTTTTATAAAAAAATAATAGAAAAAAATAAAAAAATAGAAAAAGCGAGCTATCGGCCCGGCCCAGCCCAACCCAGCCCAGGTCCGCCGGGCCGGGTCATGAAACGACTGACCCTGAAATGGCCCATCGATAATCCGGTCCGGTCTCGAACCCGTGATCAACGGGTTTGACCGGGCCGGGTCCATGCCGAGTCGGCGGGCCGGGCTGTCCTTGGCCATGTCTATACCTTGGCTTCTTCGACGTCCACAAATTCGCCATCATCGGGGTACACGTCCACAAATTCGTCATCATCATTCTAGTTTTATTAATAATTTTTTATTAATAATTTAACACGCTTTTAGTTTTATTGGTTAAATTGATCTCATTAATTTTTAGTTAACGTACGCTCCAATTTTCTGGTTGCTTAGATAATATTTAACCGTTGTTATTTTTATATTTAATAAATTTATTCACAATATATGTGACATTTTGCTCGCCATTTACTATAGTTTTTCTATTAGTACACTTGCAGATAACAAAAATAATCAACGAAATTCCCCTGGGCCTAGGCCGGGCCTAATATATCCGTGGATGAAAAGTAAATTTTGTAAAAAAATGTACACTTATATATTTTTATATAAAAAATTGTATTATTGAAATTAAGGTGGGAAAAGTGAGATAAGTGAGAAAACGAGTTTTGATTTTCTTACAAAAAATCTTTTTGAGATGAAGAAGCCATTTATATGATGTCCAAACTGCGGCCTCAGTGTGAGCCGCATCTCAACAAATTAGTGAAATAGTGCGCATAAAAACAGTAAAAGCATAGACATACAGAAGTAAGAATTAAAAGCAGAGATTAAAGCTGACATTTAGAAGGCATATCAGATGGCCATGTTTAGATTACAAATCTAAAATATCTGTATATTGGAATTAATACAGAAATGCTATGGGCACATTGTTACTGTGATCAAGAAAGGAAGCCAAGCCACTCCCCATTTTTCTTCGCTAATCGGATTAGCCCTTGCCGTTGTTTGGAGTCTGCTCCTATTGACTTGCAGAACTCTGTTATGACCTGCAAATTTCAGCAAATTAAAGAGTTTTCCATTCATATTCTATTGCTAAAAGAACAAAAAGCTTAATTGACTCATGTTGGACAATGTTACAGAAAGCTGAGTGATTATGTTCGGACCATAAAACTCATCTCCTCTTTTTATTGGGCTAACGAAAACAACTATTTCCACTCAATACAATATGATAAGCTATTTTGAATAGAAATCCAATCCAAAAATACTCTATTAGGTTGTTGGTTATATAATGAAATACAAACCATTACCTTAGTAATTTAAATATTTGCAGTTTGCACGATCAAATCACTAGTTTAGTGTAGTTTTACATTCGATTCGAGCCCATAAATATTTTCAAGCAGATACTAAGGACATAATAATGGAACAAAAAATTGTTTATACGACTAGATCAAAACAGAGAAAATGAATAAATCAAATCAAAAATTATTTTACCTGCGAGTGAAGAGCAATGGCTTTGCCTCTAAGCTGATTAAACCTCTTTTTCCCGATAATATTCCTCGTCACAATAACCAAGGGTGCAAAAATACCCTTCCCTTCGTTGGCATTCTTCATCACCACCGGCTGGGCTCTGATCGGCCGCGCCACCCTCACCGCCGCCTTGGGCTGCAGCTGGTTCACGTCACCGGCTATGGAAGAGCCCCAGCTACCAAGAAAAGCAGACGATGAAACTGAACCACAACCCGCCATGGATACAACAATCAGGAGGATTTGTGTGTTCGCAAAATTTTTGGGACTAGAGATAATTTTTATTAAAGTATTTTTGATTTCATGGTATAAAATATAAATAATTATATTTGGTGTGAATGTGAGGGGATTTGGTTCAGATGATTTAAAATGATGAGAACCACAAGAAATTGGTGGGTGAAGATTTATCTTCTTTTGATTTTATTTATTTGTTTTTGGAGTTGAAGGAAGGAGAAGTTTCTCAATGGACGAAGGTCGAAGATGTAAATTACATGTATGGTTCCTAGCGATTTGGAGATTTTTATCTTCTATTCTACTGGTTGTCGTTTTATTTTTGGGGGCCCCACTTACGGCTAATTGATCAAAGCTGGAGGATTGACCTGTTGCCGAGTCATGACCCCTATGCCCGATCTAACCGCCACTTAGGTGATCGGGGCCTTGACTGCTACCTGGGCCACCGATGAATTTCGTAGGCCCGAGGGATTAGCAATCGTAGTCACCGATGTCTACATTGACCGGGAAAAGCTCGGACGTAGGCCTACTCCGTAGGGGCGTGTGCTGGTCCACGCCTCGTCGAAGGTTGTTTCCATATTTCTGTGAAGATCTTCACCGGCCATGGCTAACGTTGTTCAATGGCTTTTTGGACGAAGTTCCCACAGACTGCGCAAAAATAGTGGGCAAATGGACCTCGTCTGGGTTCGCACAACTTGGGTCTGCTCCTGATTTGTTCGTGGACCTCTAAAACGAGGGGTTCTCAGTATTAGCGCTCTGACGATTAAGTCAGTCCAAAGTGATGAAGACGATTAATAGTAGGTAAACTTTGTAAGTACATTGAGTGTGTAGAGTGCAAATAGACATACTTCATCCCTTTATACAAGATTGTTACCTTGTTGCCCAAGACTGTCCGAATGCCGAACTACCCGTTCGTACTGCCCAAACTGCCCGAGCTACCCGTTTGTACTGTTCAAGCTGCACAATTTTGTTATGCCACATGGCCCAATCGTCATGTGGTGCTAATCCCCATTATATTCTTATTCGTCAGTTTTCTTTGTTAAACGGTCTAGTCGTGAGACCGACCCAACTCTCCATGAGGTAGTTTTCGTCTTCTCTGCTAAGCTCGTGTACTCTGTTCTTTTGGTCAATCCATCTACCTGTGCGCCTCCAGGTCGAGTTTCTACCAGGCCATGCGAGGGTCCTAGCTTGACCTGTCGGTGATACCTTTTATATGCATCATCCTCATCGACCTATAGCCCCCTCGACCTATAACTACTTCAACCTTCGATCGACCTACCCGGTTCCCTCGATTCAGTTGGCTGGTTTCTCTGATCAAGCCGACCCAATATGGTATTCCATATCAGGATTCATAAAAATTTATTTTCTATTTATAAAGGTATATAATACGTTGTATTATATTATATTTGATATAGCGATGTAAATCCAATGATAATGAATAATTATTAATTTTATATTCATATAGTAAAATCTATGCATTGAGTATTAGAATACATTTATTTAATAGCTAAAATAGTTTATATGTTTATAAATCCCAGATAAAAGTTTATAAATGGAATACTTCGAAACACAAGAAATTGACATACATGATAACCAGTTTGTTTGGAAATACTTTGGAAATAGACTTTTAGATGCAAAAGTACATTTGGATAAATAATTCATATTTGGTGTTGAATTAGTAATTGTTTTATAGAAAACACTTCTCATATTGACTTTTGAATGTAATAGTCTATTTCAAGAATTAGTATTGATATCCGTGCAATGCAAGAGATCTAGTACAAAATATTCATTACTTTATTTAAGAACAATAATAATATATTTTTTCTTAAATATTTTGGTTATTTTATTTTATTTTTATTTACTTTTTAAAGGTTTTTACCTGGCTACTAATATATGAATTTTATTATTTATAATTTTATAAAGTACTACAAATGCCTATGATTTTAAATATGATATTTGTATACATATATCTTCCATAACTTATAAAATTATCTATTTTTTAATCTTATAATTCTTTATAATCCATAATTTGATAACTAATCAAATTTTAACTCATAAAATTGAATATTCTTTATTCTAATTCTAAATGCCATGAAATATTATTCATTTGATAATTGAATTTTAGTTTTAATAAATATATGCAACATAGATTTTTCATGGAAAATATTGTTTGTCCAGATTTTTTTGTTTATATTTATTTCTTTAATTCATTTATTCAACATATATAAGAAGTTAAAATATATTCTATTTAAAAAATAAATATCTATAACCATATATTAATAATATAATTAATTAAGTCACTTATCAAAACTATAATGAATAAATTCATTTAATTGTGTGAACAAATAACTATGAAATTATTTAAATTTAAATGAAAATATGTTAGAAATGAATAATTCTAGTAAACTCAACTTATATTTAATCAATATTAACTATTGACTAAACAAAAAATAACTTATTTTGTATTATACAAAAAAAAAAGATTAATTAATTTTATACATATTGATGGGTCACCACCCAGATCTGGATAGAACCGGTTGAGATAAGCTTTGATCTGCCTGAAACGCCACGCGTCTACCTGCAAGAACTCACCACCGAAGGGTTTTGGTGAAGAACCTCCGATGCCTAAGTTAGTCTTAAGAAGAAGATGATGGTGCTCTATAAATAAAGGATATACACTGGACGCACGATTGTCGAGGTTGACGCCACAAAAATTGGAGGCCCAAATGCTGCTGACTGACTAGAAGAAGGCCTAAGTACTGAGGACACAAAATGCTATTGTAACACCCCTCTTATCAGAGTAAATTTTTCGCAACTTTTACTTCGAAAATACTTATAAACTTTTTGAAATCTTTTGCACTTAACTCGAGATGCTACTAAAAATTATATTTTACTGGAAATCTATTTTTCTTTAAACTTGGTCTAACTACTCGTGTAGACATAAAGAAAACAGATTTTGAATCTTTAATCAAACATGCATGTAACTGTACATTGTTCATACTGGTGAACCGGTAAAATCTAAAAATCTGAAAATAACATGCAAGTTCGAAACGTAGCGGAAGTCTTAAAAGCGTGAATAATTATACAGACATAATTTATTTAAGAGTCCATATAACAAATGTCCATTTAGTCAGATCCACCCGAACCACCACATCTGATCTCACACCTCCGCACCGACCCTGTGACTTGAAAATGATAATAGTGGGGCGTCATTACTCATCCACTGTACTCCGTAAAAACCCATACTAAAGCAAATAATAATAATAATATAATATCATGATCGTTGGTATATATCTGAACCGAAAAGCTGTTCCGGTAACTGAAACTGAATCTGTAATCTGGCCGATATCTGATCGGTAACGTGTTCACACTTTGATGGATATTTCTAAGGCAACTGAGGGCCTCCACCAGAACTTAGGATGTACTGTTAAGGCAACTGGGGGCCTTCATCCTAAGCATATAAACTGTATACATACCTCGAACGTGATATCAATATTATAGTCAATATAATACCCAGGCTGGGTCCCCACCTGTTCTTCTTTTGAAAACTTTTGAAAACTGTAAGTGCTGTGTTGGGTAGCTGTATCTGCAAGCTATATAAAAATATAAACAAATATACTAAGTACTATGCTCGTATACTCAATAAAATGCTAGGATGCTCGATTCTATCAGATAACTTATCCAGATATAAAGGAACACTCTAATGGTTCTCTAAAATAATACTAAGTCCGGAAATAAAACTGATATACTTAAACTGAACTGGTTTGGCTCAGAAAATACTTAAATTTCGGAATAAGACTTGAACTGAAATACTTGACCAAAAAATAACTCAAAATACCGATCGATCCGGTTCACTAACTGGATAAACCGGACCGGACTGGACCTCACCAACCTTTTGGTGACTTTTCTAGTGACAACTGACTTAATCCAACTTATTTCAATGTACTAAGTTTAAAAATACAAAGAAACACTGATAGACTTTAGTTGGATTTTTAAAATGGTTCGATAGGGCAGATATGGCTCGAATGAATACTAGATCACCGAACAACTTAACTTTTCTTGAACTTTTAATCAAGACCGAATACTTACACCTATAAATCATGACTTCTAAGCCTTGGATATTGGCTTATACTCACATGTAACTTAAAATGACTCGGGGGTGAAAATAAGCCAAATTTCACATGATATATGACCGAGTAAATAAACTCAAAACATGCTCAACTATTACCAACCTCATATATATGATTTATAAGGATTTATAAGCTATCAAACTTGGCCTAAACATGATTGGTACTAAAAATTCGAATTTAAGGCTCATTCAACTCAAGTGCTAAACTTAAACTATAAATATGCTATTTATATGCGAGATTTCAAACAATTTTATAAAATTGTATACTCAATATATTAAGCTGAAACTTGGTCAACGTTTTCATCACTAATGTGAAAATTTTACATAAACGTTTCACGTTGAAATCTCGAACGTGGACTGAGTACTCTTGCATAAAAATCATCTTGACATGCAAGGTCTAAACATTTTAACTCATTCATTTCTCAACCTAAAATCATGAAATTTGGCAAGCTTGTTCTCAACACATATGTAGACATGTCATAAAATGTTCATAATTTTATCATGCATATTTCTCGACTTATACAAGTTTAAAGTCACTGCTGTAACCAGACACATAAAATTCAGCTTGCATGATAAACTTTAAAAATCTATATCTCGAGTTATACTAGGCCAATTGACTTGATTCTTGATCCTATGTACTTCTATTTTACTCAAGAAATCTCCATATAAAGCATTTTTTCTCAGATTTTTAATAGCATATCTAAATTCGTATTAAAACAACACATAAAGAAAAATTATATGAACTGGGATAACTTAATCATATTTCATGCTTATAAACACTTGAAAACTGAACATATATAGCATAATTCTACATCAATCAACTCCTCATCTCATCTCTAACATGATTCTAAAATGAGTTGAACATACCATCCTCTTAAACTTGAAGAAAAATGTAAGAGAACTTGAATATGCTCGGTGATGTCCGATTGAACTTGCTCCCTTCTTTATGCTAAATTTCTTCTCGACTTCTCTTATATTTCTAAGTAAGAGTGAATTTATGGAGTAATATGATAATGAAGCTATTTAAAGACATTTGAAGAGGTGATTTAAATTTAATAATACCACACGTCCTTTTATTTAACTTTGATGGCAAAACATGACCTTGCTTAGTTAAGAGATA